TCATAACAAGGTGACTTCAGTGAGCATAAATAGGAGGAGTTTGGAGTCTTAGACAATACACGAATAGAGCTTGTATTTTATAAACCCATGTTGATATTATTAATAAAGATTATTAGTTAAGGTTATTTACTTCTTAGTGCATACTTAATTATACCATATTTCAATTTTTGAATACTGAAATACAGCCGTACAGGCAAGTTACAACAGTATCCAGTGTTGGGGAGTAACTTAACTTAAGTTACAAGTTACTGTAACGAAATTACTCTTTAAGTAATTTGATGGTAATTTAATTATATTTTATTGTAAGTTATTTATATGTAATTTAAGTTACTTTTTTGTAGTAATTTTTACTAAATTGCTCATTACTTTTTTTTGGATTAATACATTTTTAGAACATAGGTATCATTATCAAATGAGTGCAAATATTAAAATATATCATATATCTAATTATTATAATTTATAAGTAGAATTTTCTGAACTTGTGATACTAAAATACTTTTGTTATTATAGCTATTGACTATTTGACAGTAAAATGTCATGTTTAGATGGTGTCTGTTCTAGGTTTGACCTAATGTTGCTTGACAAATTTAATATTTTAGCTACTGTTTCTCATCCAAATTTTAAGTTCAAAGGTATGTAAATAATGGAAAAAGAAGAAGCCACTGACATCCTTCAAAGTGAAATAGAATATTTCAAATCTGTAAATGATAATAGTTTAGAGAAAAATCAACTTGAGGAAGTCAATGATAACATTATTTTTGATGAAGATATAGATATAGAGCATTCTAATGCTGAACGGTTTTTATTTACTCCTTTTAATGGTGATTTAACTATTTTAAAAAACATGCCAATAATGAGATTAATTTTTTTGAAGTATAATACTGCTTTACCCTCAAGTGCTTCTGTTGAACGTTTGTTTAGCATATCAGGAGATATATATGTTACGGACAAGGTGAGGTAGTTGGGCATTGTGCACAGTGCCCGGACATTGTGTACAATGCCCAATTTTAGTGGTTAAAGTGAAAATAAAACACATTGCTCGGACATTGGGTACAATGACCGAATCCTTGAAGGGCAATGTATGCTACCATGTTCAAAACAATACAATTAAATAAAATTAATACAATATAATAATAAATATTAAATTTATTTATTTATTTATTATTTATTAGATGAATATTAGTATACATATTTATTTATTTGAGCACGGATTGCTACTGTGGCACTTAGAATTACATAGTTTACCTGCTGCTTTACATTTGCATTTTTTTGTTTTACACTTCTGCGTACAACCACATCTATTATATCCTTGACCGCCCAAGTTGGAATTGTGTCGAGCTACCTCTCTTAAGGAAATTATGTTTTCAGGTACTTCTTCGGTCGTAATAAAAGACTCCTTGCATAACTTAAATTGGTTACGACTATACATTTGGTTTATTTTACCTTCCTTGTTCCCAATTTCGTACAAATTGTCTTTTACTATAAAGCATAAATTTATACTTATGAATTAATTTATATTTATACTAATTATACTAATTATGAATAAGAATAAATATAAAGTTCTAAGTTACCAGAAAGTATGACACCTAGAATATTTCGAAGATCACATCTTGCTCTATCTACATCGGGTATTCTTATCATCACATTCTAGCCAATTTTTCCCTGGCAAAATCTATTTTCAGACATTTGTTTCATTTTCGTAGCTTGCTTCTGTAAATTTTGAAATGAGCTGGACCTTTTCTGATCAATAGATCTAAGTTTTGCGGAAATGCCATCGTTTATTACCGCTAAAAAATATTAATAAACAATATTAATAAAATGTTTTAGATAAATAAATATTTGACATACTTTTGTATTGAACTTCGTGCACTTCATCATTAATATTGACATGTTCATCACCAATCGGGCATACGACAGCTAAAAATATATTTTTTTAATTGTTAATACCTACATATTATATTTATCGAAATATTATTTATACGTAGAACAGCCAAAATTCCTTTAAATTTAATACATCCATTTAATAGTAAAATTTATTATAATATTATAAGTATACGTACTTTTTTTTAAAGCTTCTTCTATAAGTCTTCTTCTGTCTTCAATATAGATGAAATATTTTTTGGAAGTGATGAAGTGGCTAGTCCAACTTTAGCTTTTGTACCAAACATTGCCTCGTATGGTGAACATTTAATCCCATGATGTAAACATCGGTTTTTCATGAATTGAATAAATTTCAGCCCCTCACTCCATCTTCTCGTATTATTGTCCTGGAGCCAAGTAGCTATCATATTTTCAATGTCTTGATTTGCTCTTTCGACGGAACCTTGGCTTTGGGAATGTCGTGGTTTTCCGTGAACTATTTTAAGTTCAGGCCACATATTACATAAGTCGCTAATAATCGTATTAACAAATTCTCGACCGTTGTCGCTATGAAGTATTGAAGGTGCACCAAATGTAGTAAAAATGTCCAATAGAACGCAAGCAACATTTTCCGCGCGTTTATGGGTTAATGGACGCAGTAAAACAAATTTAGTTAAGTGATCTTGATAGACCAAAATAAATTTAAAGTTTTTATCGGGCTGAGCTTGCATGTCGATCAAGTCGACCTGGCAACGCGAATTCATTTCTGAGGAGAGAATTGGTCGTACAACTAAACCTTTTTTTATAGTACTTCCTTTTTTTTGACATGTTATACACAAATTTAGATATAACATTATAATTTCCCTAGTAATATTTTTATATTTCAAATTTATTTCATATATCATTCTATTACGCCCTCCGTGTCCAATATTTAAATGAATTTCGTTAATAATTTCAAATATTTCTTCATTATAAACATAATATTTAATTGAATTAGAAGTAGGCAATATTGGCACCACCAATTTTTCAACTTCACCTACCATCATAACATCATATTTTTTTAAAGCTTTATATTCTGTACCTGTTTTAGCCGTGGTTTTTGTTTTTATTTCTTTAATTTTATTTATTAGTTCCATATATTTTATTTCACTTAAAAATGTACTATTGGCATTTTTTTCACTGTATAATAACTTTAAACGTCTATTAAATTCGGTTTTCATGGTAAAAGTTGCGGAAAAAAAATTAATACAATATTACAAACGTTATAAATAAACAGTCTGAACACACTGAACACTGAACACACTACACAGTATATCTGCAGTACTGGAGTATTGCTCAAATAATTTTAGACAAATACCCACATCATAACCAAAACTTTCCAAATTATAACAGCTAGAGTAATAATAAAGATAGGTGGTCGATAAGATAACTAAAGGAGTGTTTGCACCCAGAGTCTGATCGATCATCAGTGATATGAGACGTGCACCTATCACACACCTGCCACACATACACACACACACATACACTCATACGCGTCGTCTGTTATTTTTCTATCATATTTATATTTTATCTTTGTATTGTTAATAATCGTTATATTTTGTCATTGTGAGTTAGGTATATAATATCTTAATTACGAGACGACGCGGTATCGTCCTTAGGTCGTCTCCGCGGAACCGACATATATTATACAGTAAATTTTTACATTGACCAAAAGTATGTCGGGCAATCCAAATTGCCCAGACATTGTTATAGAATGACCGGTCATAGTAAACAATTATTACTAACTGAATACTTTACCCGAAACTGATGGGCACTGTGCACAATGCCCGGCTATTGTTGCACAATGCCCGACTACCCCACTTTGTCCGTAACATATACACTAAAAAGCGATCTAAAATTAGTGACTGTAATTTTGAAAACGTATTGTTGTTAAAAATAAATTTGAAAAAATAGATTAATATTTAACGTACAGCAAAATTAGTATTAATTGTTAATAATTTCATATTAGTATACATGTAGTGATACTCACACTTGGATATGTCTTTTGAATTACGCCTTTGAGTCGCTCGACCCTTTTTGGTTCACGCCGTCTAAAAGTGGACTGTCGGCGTCGTCATAGTGGCGGTACGGCATATTACGGTAGTGACCTCTTAAAAGTGCCGCAGCATGTGCAGTAAAGTTCGACGTACCGGTGGTATTAAGACCACGTGAAGACGTCATCTTCGTGCAGATGAATAGATGCGTCTCCTGTACGAGTGGCAAGCTTACCAAAGAGAAAACATACATGTTATTTTTTAAAAAAAGGGTAATCAGCCAATATATAGGGCGAGTTTGAATGACATTGGACTATTTCACACAACCACACTTGAATCACGTACGTAAATACTAAATAATAATATTATTACCCGGATAGCAGTGGGTACCTTCTTCTTGAATAACAATATTTATAATCGTTGGCTTATTGGCTTGCCAGATAGACGACCAGACCGACTGTTTACGCACAGCGCACCGACTCGGAGACTCGTAAACAATGCGATCTGGACGATGGACAGTTAATTTGGTTAGGTCTTGCACTCTTTTAGTTTGACAGTTTATAGTGTTGGTACATTGCAGCTAAATATGCGAGTAGCGACAATAAAGCCTCGTTCACACGGTGACACTACAGCGTGACATTTAGTGTCCCGACATTAAGTGTGGCGTCAGTGTCACCGTGTGAACAATGTAGTGCCTCGCTGCCACGACATCGCGGCACTAGTGCCGCATATCAAAAATGTTTGATATTAACATCGTGACACCGTGACATCGTGTCACGTTATCACTGAATATTATCAACCAACCGTTACCTTGTTTTTGATTTAAATTCGTAAATATTAATTCAAATGAAAGTATTAAATTTAAATTAAAGTGTTAATGTACGTTTACTAATTCAGAATGTCATCTTTCGATATTATCAAGTTCCTTGAAAGTTACCAACAATATCCTTGTTTATGGGACAAATCTCTACCCGAGTATAAAGACAGGTTGAGACGGGACCAAGCTGAAGACAATTTATTATATATAACTGGATTAAATGATAGAAAAGCATTACGTTCCAAAGTTAGATCTATACGTGGGGCGTATAATAATGAACTAATATACATCTAAACAACCTGAATATTAACCATTCTATACTGCCATTCAACTTCACCTTCGCCCATGAAGTAATTAGCGAACTGTGTTCGCTTTAAACGGGCATTATTATTAAAATTTTTTTCTCTTATTGGAGTCAAATTCATTAGACCACCGGGTGCTGGATCTTCTCGCCATGACCCCAAGTTGATTGTACTATTCTCAATATCTTCATAATCTGTGGTTATACCATAATTGGATTTGTTAGTTATCCTTATCCAATTATGCAAAGCACAGCATGCCTTTACAATTTTAACAACTTTGTTTGGCTCAAGATCAATGGGTCTTGAAAATATTCGAAAACGATTTGTTAATATACCAAATGCATTCTCACTTATTCTACGTGCTCTACAATGTCTGTAGTTGTATACACACTCCTTAATACTCTGGTTAGTCCGCCTGTGAAATGGTTTCATCAGGTACTCTTTAAGTGGGAAAGCTTCATCTCCTAGTATAACACTATTTTCAGGCAAATCTAATTGATTTTGTACAATTGCTGTGTTCAAAGCAGATTTTCCAAAAATACCCCCATCCGAAGCACTACCATAGCTCCCTATATCAATGCATGTAAAATTGTAATTGTCATCAACCAAGGCAAGAAGAACTATGCTGAATTGGTTCTTATAATTATAATATAGAGAACCAGAATGTTTAGGGCACTTTATAAGTATGTGTTTGCCATCAATTGCCCCAACACATTGTGGAAAATTCCATTTGGTGTTGAATCCATAAATTATTTTTTCCCATGCAGCTTTCTTTTTTGGTACCTATTAAACAAATAAAACAATAATTTTAGTTAAATGTTATAAATACATTAAAATAATAAAATGATTTTACTAATATTATAAGATACATGTATTGTGCTTAATAAGCTTGCTATGCTTATATTTTTTGCTGCAACTATTTTATTTTTTTAGAACCTGAACGATGAAGACATTTCAGAAGAAATACTAACTGTAAAAGAAATCCCTGTGGCTTCTGGGAGTGCTTCTTCAACTACTCAACAGACACTGGTGTTGACCCCCAAAACAAAAGACAGCTACAAACCTTTTAGTTTATCAAAAAAATCAAAACAAAATGACACATTGAGGGAAGCGTTGAATACATTGAAAGAAATTAGACATAATGTCCAGGACAATGAGTTCAACCTGTTTGGCCAGCAAGTTGGTGTTCAACTTAACAAGCTGACACTAAGAAAAACACTTGAATTGCAGCAGGAAATTCAAAATTTACTATCTCGAGCTAGACTAGATGATTTAAATACATTACCAACTTTAAACTCTAATACACCTAGTACAGATAGATCAATACTAAGATCAAGTAGTGATAACTTAAATTCTACCCCTCATAATTTACATTTTTATGAAGGAAGTGATGAAGATTTTGATGCAAATGATAGTTTTTAACAATAGTTTTATTATAAACTAATGAAATTTTAAAATAATACTGTACCTTTGTACATTTTTAATATTATGATGTTAAACACATATTATTAAATATAATAATAGTTCAAATATTAATTCGATTTTTGTGATAGAACAATAAATTATTGTCTTACCTTTTCCAGAAGTTCACAAAACATAGTATAATCAATCCGAAGAAAGTTACAAAATGACCTGGGATCTTCCATCTGCAACTCCTTTAATAATGTTTCTGATGCACCTAAAGCATCCCTTCGCATTACCCACTTTCTAACCCATTCTCTTTTTTTTGATTTTTTTTCCAATTCATAAATAATAATTTGTTCAAAAACGTCCACAGCTGCGTTTAAAATGTAATTATTGGCCATTTCAATTTAAAACAATTTTTTAGTTTCAAAAAACAAATTTAAACTTTGAGAAAAAACCAAACAATTAGATTGATAAATAGTAGGTATGAAAAATGGTAAGATAATAAATACTTATCACAACCACTATTTTAGTGTCAGCATTTTTATTTGCTACATGTGAACAGCGCACGACACTTGGCACTAGGGCACCAAATTGTTAACAGTGTCGTGCAACTTAATGCCATGACATAAGTGTCACCGTGTGTCCGTGTGAACGAGGCTTAACATACACCGCGTGATCATGCGCACATGGCAGGGACTGTGGCTCAACACGCGCTCAGGGAGCGTCACTTTAGTTTATTAAACAACAACTGCGGATATTATGGCTAAATAGCTAAATTGCATTTTTGAATACGTATTATAAAATCGAAAATAAATAATAATATTCGTTACTGAAATGTGTATTTTCGTATCGAACACTGGAGTATTTATAAACAAGCTACGAAAGATAACCGGTTATGACCTTCAGTTGCACAGTGCACGCGGGGAGATGGTTTAAGAACGTACCTCGTCCCGCCAGTATGACGAACACCGATTTATTATTCTATTAGGAAGTCAGCCCAATATGTGTATGTGTTTTCTCTCTCAGACTCGCTCGCACATTGATTAAACGCTTTCACCTTAAGGCTAAAATCATTCTTTTTGATTTTTGAGTAACCTTAGATACTTATCACTTATTACCAAAATTATAAAGGATAATATTTTTGAATGCATGACGGATTAGTTTTATATTTTATTATTATTTGACTTTGTATTCGACTTCAAATTATTTATTGAAAATAAAAATAAAATTGTGTAAATTAAAATAATGATTAAATTGTTTTAAGACAATATATAGACGAATCGGTATGTCAATCTCTCAAAAATATTATTCTGTATCGAATTTGTAATTGATGATTTTACTTTTACATTATTCGTAAAAAAAAATGATTCTGCGTAAATGTGTTTTGTCTAGGTTTTGGGCGACGCGCGACGGGCCAGAGACAGAAAACAAACAGTGCGCCGACGTTCTCGACACTACACCGGCATGTGCCTTATAAAAGTACGAAATAGCGAAACCTGTTTTGCTTGGGATAGTTTAGAGTGTTTAGACTCCAAATTGATGTACAATAGAGTTGAGAACATTATCTGTGAAATATCGTTTTTATTTTTTAAATATCACTTAATACTTAAACGAAAAAAAGTTCCTATTGTTTCAAAATCTATTATTTTTTTGTTTCACAAACTTCAATGAATTTTTTTTGTAATTCCAGGTAAATAAATAAAAACGATATTTCACTGCCAAAGTTCTCCATTTTATGTTGTGAAAATTTCGTTTCTTATTCGTGCGTTTATGACAGTGACTTTTTAGGTTCATTCCCTCGCAAAATAGCTTTTGTCATGTTTTACATTTGTAAGACGGAGACAACACAAGCTGGCGTAGAGTCCTTGATGTGTGTGGTCTACCGGTTCGGACGAAAATCCGCCCTGATGTCACTCATATTTGTGACGGACCATATTATAAATAATATTGTTATACTATATTATAGAATAATAATATTTTATTATTTACGGGAATAATTCCAATTATAAAATTTCATTATACTCGATTTTGTGTCATTGTTATTTTTACCCGGTACAGTGACAATAATATGGCACGCCGATCGATATTACGGCATAATTACATCTAAACATTTCCGACTGACACAAAAATAATGAGTTTGACAAAATCGTAACAAAATAATATAAGTACTCGCTGTTGTTAATAATAAACATATCGTTATTTTATCAATCTTAAAGGGTAAATGGTTAACAGAAATGTTAAGTATTAATAGGTGATTATTTAAGGTGGCTCAAAATGTAAAGCGGTTATATTATATAATAATCAATAGGTACTTCTATCATCATTTTCGACTGACCACTGGAGGAACAGCGGTGACACTGCTTAGTGCTTGCTTGCGCGTCTGCTTCGGCGGCGCGTTGCTTCTTTATTTTGGCTGCAGCGTGATTCCGTCGCCGTTGGCGTTGCTTGGTGGTGTTTCTGCTTTGGCGCGGTGGCGTCGGCGGCTTCGGCTGCGGAGCGGTTGCGTCGGCATCGGCTTTGGCTGCAGCGCGATTGCGCCGGCGTCGGCGTTGCTTAGTGGCGTTTCTGCTTTGGCGTGCCGGCGTCGTCGGCGTCGACGTGGCAGTGGCCGCTTTGGCTACACCGCGGTGGCCGCTAGACTTGCCGATACACAGATTTGCTGCTTGCTGACACAGCGTCTTTTCCAGCTGCAACCTTTGGTGGTTATTGTCGATGGCCATGAAATATTTGCTTTCATTTAACAGTTCGGGTGTCCACCGGTAGTAAATAAAAAATAGAGGGTAAGACTCGAAGTCGGTGTACTTGACAAATACGTGGCCGTTAGGGCTCACCGTCGTATCTGCGGTCCCGGGCGGTATGATTAGGCTGTTCTTTCGGTCCCATTTTTCCGTCACCTGATTCGGTGAATCATTCATCAGTACAGTGCTCATGACGATCACTCGAATCCCTGCAGTCGGTCGCGAGAATAGAAAAAGGAAACAAACGCTTACATCATTAACTCGTATGAAATGAAAATTGTTCTACTTATTATAATATAATATACGAGACATACAAGGTGATTTTTGTGTTATAGCTAACAACTAACCACGCTAATCTTTTAAAATATACCATAATATGATGCAGGTACCATTTTAGTTTAAATTACTTATATTACCTACGGTATTTTATTAAATATTATATATTTTATATTAATTAATATTAGCTATATAATATGAATTGTATTAAGTAAATGACTTTATAATAAAATTTCTATCAAAATTATTTATTCGTATTACTTAGGTTATTGGAAAAACATAAAACATGCATTCTATTTAACATTTAAATATGCACGCTCTAAATTTTCGCCAGGAGCATAAGCATAGTCACCCAATTTTCATTCTCTCGACTATAGAGATGGAATTAAATATAAATATAAATTAGCTCCGTGTAAAATATATAAGAATATTTTGACGAGTTTGATACTTTTTACTTTTTAGTGACACATTTTCTAGCTCACAGTAGTCATTATTTTTATGAAAGGAAGTCGATTTGGGCTGGAAATTGCGTATAAATCCGTCTCCGTGAAGGCGTGAAATACCTAAAGATTAGAATATTTTGATAACGATTTTTGAAGGGGCTTTGATACGTTTTAGGAGGGTCGGGGGATGATGTAGCATTTCGTTGATAGATAAATAGAAACAAATAAAAACACATTATTATTCTTTTACGGTTTTACCTTCATTAGTGGATCGATTGGCGTAATAATTGCCATAGTCCACGTCGTTGCTGAACGAAACGCCGTACCCGAACTTGGCACGCCTGGTGAGCCTCCAGTCGAGCCCATTCTTTAGCGACTCCAAAGCTCTAGACTTGGCGGTCACGTGGTAAAGCACCAACTCCTGGGCATCGTATCCGCCATTTTCCAATCTCATTTCTTCCTTGCGTAAGAGGTACATTCCGTACATCTGTGGAGAGTTGATTCGATGTATTTGAATGATGTTGCACTGCAATATTTTGGTATTAAGTAAATATAATATTATTGATTACCCAATTTCATTAATTAATTTTTATAACTTTAATAAATAATATGCTATTTTAGATAGTAATTCATAACTCAAAGAATTCGGAAATGCCAAATTTTTATAAATACGTCAAAAAGAAACAAACAAATGTTGACAGAGCTATTTATTAGGTGTTCATAGACATTTGAAATTTTCGTTACCTCCCTACATGTTAGTTACTTGTTAAGACTATTATTTTTAGTTCAATAACCCTGACAATTAATGGACATGGTTCCTCATAAGTTTTTTTTTTACATGAATGCATACTCAGTTCACAAAAACTTAAAATGTATAATAGGTACCAAATTTATGTTTATCTGACTACGATTTAATTGATTTATCTGTAACCAGCAGGTTATCCCTAAAATGCCAATACATCTGAATTAGGTCTAAACAGCTATATTAATTATCACTTCAACCGGAACTCAAACATGAGTAATCATTCTACAGGTGAATACTACCTATCAGAATAATACATTACCGTATACTCTTACACGTTACTCTGCCGTGTATTACTTGAATGGCTATACTTATTAGCTCAGTTAAACGTATATATTTGTCATTATTACAGTGAACTATAGTTATATTATAATAAGCGATTTGTATTTTCATACTGAAATTTAAATTTGTGAAATACATATTCACATTATGAAGAATTTATTAAGTTTTCTGTACGCTAAAAACGTTATTATGATGGGTGATTATAATTTTCCAAAAATACAGTGTCTTCTTACCTTTATTGAATTTAAACAATTTTTAATTTAAATTTGTATCAATATTATTTTTTTGTAAATTCAATAATATGATGTATATATAGAACTAGTTCAATACTAGACTTAGTTCTTTCTGATTTAAATAATACATCAGTAAATCAATTTGTTAATCTTCTTGTCCTATGATAGCTATAACTTATAAACCTGGCCTACTCATTTCTTTAACTAATCCATTGAATATAATTTATGCATTTATAGTTTTTTTAATTAATCTATTTAATCTAACTATATGCAGATACAACTTTCGCTAAAGCATCTTTGAACTGGGGAATTGGGAATTGGGAACTGGAAATATTTATTTATAGATTCTACTCAGGTCTTAGTATAAATGAAGCTGTCAATTTGTTTTACTCTATTATTTATGAAATCATTGATGTTTTTGTGCTTACCTAAAATAATTAAAGTATTAAGCATAAATAACCACTCTTCATCTTATAGAAAATATTTAAAAGAATACATTTAAAAAAAAATGCACATCCACTGTATAAGAGTTCTGGTTTGGTAAGTAATTATAATATTTTATCAAATCTTTGTGCTAAATGTAAATTTTTTCAAAAAAATATCAAAACAGAATGAAAAAAATTTAAAAAAATTAAAAGTCCAAATCAGATCAATTTTGGAAGTTCATAAAGAATAGACGCAAAAATAATTTCTCACAGAATAGTGTGCATTTATACACTGATCAATTTAATCTGATCACTGATCTATAAAAATGCAGACACTTATAGGCTATAATCTATATGAAAAAATCTATTTAATGGGATTTTTTCTATTTGTTATACCTCGTGCAGTCACTTTCAACAAAGGTCTCAAAATATATTACCCAAATATTTATAATGTACCTACTTTTTCCATTATAAAAGGATAGTGTAATAGCCAATAGGTGATTGTTCTTAGACTTAAAATTGGTATTCAACAATTTTGTATATTCTTTATGATATTGATCAATTAAGTTTTTATAATTTAAATAAACATTTGAGCAGAACATTATTTGATGTGATCATATCTAAAATTGTGTTAAATAAAATATATAATTATCAGTTTTTTAAATTTAATAATATGGCATAGGTTTGACATTTTATTTATGGTATAAATCATCTACATTAACCGTTGAGATCCACCTAATACTAATTGCATTAACAACATTTGATTCACCTTTGACAATTGTCATAGGTAAATAATAAAATGTTCACTTTGACTTCGCTGCCGCTGATCATAATATTTTCTATTATCAGACAAAAATATCTAGTTAACCACTACCTCTTACAACTAGTAGTAGACTTCAACATTAATGGTTTTTATTATTTTTAATTTAGAATTATCCTGGAGAGTTGAAGAATTACATTCAGCCTTTGAACGTAAGTCAAATCTACATGAATAATTTGTATTAATTAAAACTTTCAGAAAACCCTAAATAGTATAAGCCTAAATTATCATATAGGTAGGTACTATTAGAGCTAAAAAAATAGCTCAAAGGTAAAATGTAAGGATAGTGGGTACCTTGTATAAACAAATTATTACTAAGATTATAAATGTATAAATATCATTTTTAGTGTACCTAAATCACGAATTAAGATATATTAATTCTTGACCTAAATCTTAAGTTAGGTTAAGTGAGATGAACACTATGTGTCATCTAAAATTGTTAGTGGTTCAAAAAAAAAAAATGTTTGTTTATGTAGTATGTAATATGTATTAGATATTTTATACCTAAAATATAATCTATCTTTATATTTTTATTTTTATTATTAGATATATTATATGAATAATGAATAATACCTAATAATACCTTATCAATTTATGATGGACTTGTTTAAAATACCTATCGATTAATTAGACAATTGAGCTTTTACTGCCAAATTAAAATATGTGTAAAGAGCCTGGTTTATAGATTCCTGGGTCGCCGCTGGGGACTTTAATTTTCAAGAGGCCATCGTCTCTATTAAAAGCAAAATTAAATACTATTTTATTTAAAAACTTTATTATAACTTACAAGAACAGGGATTTTTTTACAATCTTTTACAAAATCATCAATGATGTCGTCATAGCCTCAGTAAGCAATGTCAGATTGTCTATAACTACTTTAACTAGACTAGAGTTAAATACAATCTCAAACAAGTTGTAATGTGTTTGAACACTGAGACCTGAGAAAGAGCATTTGCCAGTGTAGTTTGTATTTAAGTTGAGATTGGGGATTACAACAGTAGCATTATTAAACATTAACATTTATAAATATTGGAACTGTAACGTTTCATCAAGGAAAATGACTTTATCCGAGTCATCAAGAAAAAGGCCTAATACATTTGATGTACTCTTGAAAATATATCTGGATTTTTCACTTTTTTTTTATTATTATTATTTTAATCGAAAGGTCCTAGTAAATATAATGAATAAAAATGTCATAAATGGAGGCCAGGTGACTAGTCATCAGTGGTGCACAGAGCTATTTTGAGAGCACATGCAGATAAAAAAGTTAACTCTTGCTGTACTCCATAATTACACTCAAATTTATATTACTTGCATAAATCAGGGCCTTTATTTAAATAGATGAGAGAAAAGTGTACCACCAATGCAGATAATATAATAAAACATACACAATAAATGTCTTACTTAAGCAGTTAAGCCAGTACATACACAATACATAAAATGCATACATTTATGCACAATAAAGAAAGTATAAACATAAATGAATCACCTGTGTAAAATGTTATTTAGGTAGGTAAACAAGAAACATATCTTAAATGTTTCAACCAGCATCTCCTTATAATATATTATATCGGGCATATTTCATTAATTTAATATAATTTTAGTAAACTGATCTGCAAAAATCTCGGTACAAAATCATAAATTATACCTACTGTTTTTATTGTTATATTATTTATAAGTTAGTAGGTAGTTACTATCAGACATCAGTTATTTTAATAAATTGGTTTATATTGTTGTATACCCATAGGCGGAGATTAGGGGGGGGGATTACGGGGGCTTAGTCCCCCCAAGGTAAATGATTTGAAGTTAAAGACCCCCTAAGAATATTAAACAAACAATACCGTAATTTTGTACAGTTTGCAGAACTTTTTTCACTATTTTATATTCTTATATCCACAATTATACAAGTGTACCTAGTACATTACATATACACTATTTACCAATTTATTATTTACAGTAACATACTGAACAATTAAGTCACAATTCACAATAATATTATATTGTGTTTATATACCTAATATTGTACATATTTTGTACCAATTGGCCATCTATATTGAATAACATATTATACGATTCTATTTTAGATGGGAAAAATATTATTTCTTTTCCTAATTTTTGTTAATTCTCGAGAAGCCAGAAGCGATAGCTATTATAGGACTATCGCTATAGCTGTATTAAACCTATCGTAAAGTTTATCGCGATTGAATGAATCGTTAACCGTATTGACCATTTTATACTAAATTATATTTTACTTATTGTTTGATGTTCTTGGGAATACATTTCTTTTGAGATTGTGATTTAGATTTTTAATAAATAATTTAGTTCAAATATGTTTGAAATATTTAAATTTAAATCGTTTATTAATTATTCTTTTTTTTATGTTTGTAACTATTTAAGTTGTTATGATAACGAGTCAACGAGAACAATTTTTTATGAGTGTTCTAATGTAAAAATCAGTTTGTTGGGGGTGTGGGGGTAATGCCCCCATGGGTCTGTTTGTCATCAAATATTTGAGCCCCCCTTAATATTTCACAAGATTTCTGCCTATGTGTATACCTGACGTAACACTTAAATAATTAAACTTTAATAGAACTGATGTCCATATACAGTAAAATGATAGAGTACCTACTTATATAATATATACATATAAGTAAAAAGTATATTATTAACTACATTCAAATATATAGAAGTCATACTATTATATTATTATACATAACATATTAAGCAACCTACATTAAAGAGATCCCAATCAGTTTTTTTTAATCTAAATGCATAGTGTTTAATATGATGTATACTAGGAATGTATAATATTTATACAGTTTATGTTAGAAGAAATATCTAAAATTTAGACTAATTAAATAAAATATTGTTATTTTCTAAAAAATATTATATTAAATTATCTATAAAAACAATTGTAAAATTAAAAGTAGGTGTGTAAGTACCTACTAAATAAATATTATTTCATTATTTACCATAAAACACTTTAGGATTTAGGACAGTTGAAAAAAATATGTCATTGAATAATATAATATAATCTTACTTAACAATTATTGTATCTACCAGTTTTATAAAATGAAAATAATAGGTACTTATTCTACTTTAGAAATTTGTTAAAATTTACAACAAAGAATTCTTAATTAATATAAATATAATTTAAATATACCTTCAATGTACTCATAAATTATTAGATATGAAATATAACTAAAATTTGGAGTAAACCTATCCAACATTTTAACATCCTATATTATATGGCTAAATAATTATGAATATTGCGATAATATGTGATATGTTAGAATATACAGGGGCATTTACAGGTACCAGTTTATTTTATTTTTTATAAAAAAATTGAATCATAACGTGAAATTGTGTAAGTCCAAGGTCGAAAACTGATATTAATAAGAAAATACTATACACCAGTAGTTCTCAATCTTTTTAATACTGTGACCTAAATTTCCCCCAAAAAATCTTTCGTGACCCACATTGTTTCACTTTTCAAAAATTTGTGAAAAACAAAATTTGTATTATATAAATATGCATACATTTTTATTAGGTATTTAGTTTTTTTTATAGGTTTACAATAAATATGAATAAAAATATAATTAGTATAATTAATATGTACTTTTTATAATGAGGTACCTAACATAAATTTCTTAGAATCTATATAATTCAAAAAAATGTTCCCGACCCACCAAAATTCAACTGACGACCTACCAGTGGGTCGCGACCCACACTTTAAGAAAAGCTGCTATACACTAAGAACTGCCCCATTACACTAGAGACTAGTGGCACATTACTTATACCTATAACAGAAATAAAAAATAATAATTTCACCAAGTTCCTAGATTTTGATTCACACTCACTTACTTTAACTAAGGAAAAGTTAATGCCAATGCATTTATTCAGGTATTAGAGGTTTACATTGGAGGAGAGTGACTGTATTCTGACACATGTTGTTGTCACCCATGTACAAATGAAAATGACAATGATAATGAAAAAAATGTCCATGTACAAGTAACACATAAGAGTTATAAGTCCATAGAAACATACCGTACTAAAACTACCTACCTACATTGCATTGTTCACCAAATATGCATAGTTATAACCAATAATGTATGGTTGTATCGACTAGAGTCTAGAATATAAATATTTTCTATAGGTATTATATAATACCAAAATAACTTTTTTCCATGTTCAATGTAGAAAATATGTGTCCAGCTTGTTTTTCAAAGTTCTCTGTGTACATAAGCCAAAAGCTATCATATTACAGTGAATTGACATACTATCAAACTGAAAGGTAAAATGTAAGGACATTATCACATGGACTTTTAATATTTTAATCTCTAAGAGAAGCATAAGTATTTTTTTAATTGTAATATCTGACATACTCGTAACTTAAATTTTTTTTGGAAAAACAACAGTAAAAATATGTGGAGTCAGTGGACCGAGTTAATGGTTCATTTCTTAACATAGATACTTTAAAGTTTAAGGATCTCTATAGTAGTAATGTAGTATAGTCTATATTGTACAATAGTACATACTATAAATATAGTAGGTATATAGTAAGTATTAACAATGATAATAATGTAAGTTAGTTATATTTTAATAACACCAACTAAATACAAATAACAATGTGATACACCGTGGCCCAGTAGTTTTGAAATATTTTTGACTTGGCACAACTAACAAAACATTATATAGTTGTTTAAACTTGTAATGCCATATGATATGCCGACACATTTAAATTTATTAAAAAAAAAAAACTAATTTTACTTAAGAATCAAATAATTGAACAAACCATCCACTAATTCTATTTAAATGTACCTGTCGAACAAAACCGCTCACTCCACTCACACTGTATCCTTTACAAAATGTATTGTACATACTTTCATTTTTATCAAATTCGCTTTTTTTATACTATATTCAAAATTAAAATCCTGAAATATTAATTGTACCTCAATAGACAGTAAATTTTACTATTTTTTTTATGATTATTTATTAGGGAATATAGATAATAATATGTACCTAGCTTTATTATACTACATAATATTATTGCATATTATATTATAAATTATGATGGATTGCAATCTCTTTGTTAAATTCTTAATTACAATTGTGTTATTATTTTATTGTTGCGGTATTACATTTATCTCAGATCTCTCTAGTTTTAGCAATATAGTACATAGGTACCAACTAATTATTTACAACCCCCCCCCCCCTTACAATTGTGATGGAAAATCATTGTCAACACACCACTGAGCCATGCATACTGCCATTGGTGAATCGTTATGGTACTCACTTTTGGAAATGTTTTGTGAGCTATGTGTTGGAGTCGTTCACAGCCTAATTTGTTGACGTTATCAAGCAGCGGACGGGCTGTATCATCATGGATGCGGAATGGTGAGTTACGATAGTGCCGTTTCAAATGTACCGCAGCCTGCGCTGTAAACTCCGACCTTTTGGTGAGTGTCTTACTGTCACCTCGTGAGTTCATTGTAGGATCACTGCATATAAATAGATACTTGTGGTGTACGAGTGGCAAACTTACTGAAAATAAATGTACAAATCTTAATATATATAAATCTCGTGTCACAATGTTTGTCCTCAATGGACTCCTAAACCACTTGACCGATTTTGATGAAATTTTTTACTCCGCGTGTAATTTGGTCCAACTTAAAAGATAGGATAGTTTTTATTTCAAATTTTTTAATACATTAAATATTTTAATTAATTTTTTAATAAATTTAAAATTTATTATTATTATTATTATTTTTATTTTTTATTTTTT